ACACTCATCTTAATATTTTGAATGTCGTCTCCCATGTGGGATGCAATTTTTTGATATTTGAAGTCCTACCCTGGCTTCTGCCGGGGGCCATGAATATAGCCGGGACATAGATATGGCAGAGCCATAGATATAGCCTAACGGCTGAAAGGGGTTTCTTGGACCTCTCCAAGGGTGGTCCTCATCCGCATGGTGGCACATTGTGTCACCGGGTGTTTATCGCCTGTGTGATGTCCTGGTGGGGTACAACTACCCACCTACCTACCGCATCTTAATATCAAAATTTACCTGAAGATATATAAAACACAATAAACGTTCCGTAGCAACAGAATAGAAACGACACGGAAAGAATGACTTTACCTTTATGTTGTGATTGGGGAAACTCCGCATTGCTACTGGTGACAGTGTTCAGTTAGCTGAGCTCTACCAAGGTTCATTAGTTGATAGTATTTTAAGCCATACCTGGTTTGCGTTATCAGCTAGGCCTGAACCAATCGGGTTGACTTGACACACTTCATTCGGTGATATCTAAACCTGGCTACTTCTTAGTTGTCTATCCCGGACGTTTTTGATATCATTGTCATAGGTAATGTTTGTAAGATATATAGAGTTTTCTGTTTACTAACGCTTAGTAATGTGTTTAGATTGCTCATTCCCTCTTCTTCTTTTTTTCCTCTCCTCCTCCCTCTCTTCCTCCTCTCTTCTTATTATTTGTCTTCTCCTCCTCATCTCTTCTTCTTTTGCTTTTTCTCCTCCTGCGCATTTTCCTCCACCATACCCCCACTTTCTTCTCCTTTTTCTTTTTATTCTTTTTTACTTTCATTATTTCTTTCTTTCTTTCTTTAACCCTTCCTTCCTTCCTTCTACTTCCTATTGGAAAGAAATATTAGCGTGGGGATAGTAGAGTCATAGTTCAAAAGATATGAGGATTGTTGATGGCCGTACAGTAAACACACTAAATTCTAGTGAGATACCACGATCTTACACATCAGACAGCTTGCCAGACAGCTCAGCGAAGGAGTGCAAACATTTGATAACGGCTGAATGATTGCAGAGTTAGGTTTGCCGATAACTAGAGTTGTCCAAGTCTTGACTCTGCATACAGGTATGATAGGATTGGTCACACTGGAATGACCAGACAGGACTGGTCATACAAGCCATCCATCCATCCATTTATGTAAAACAAAACAATAAAATCGACCACATTCAACCTACTGCGAGCAACATCGGTGACAACTGTAGTCAAGTTTCTTTGTGCCAGTTATGTTGGCTAAGAAATGGTAATTGCACCAAAACTAGTGGCTTGGAGCGGGACTATAGTACCTAGTGAGGGCTGTTGGGGAGGGGGCTGCTCGTGTGGATATGTACACACCTGCACACACGCCCATGCGGGAATTCCTGCACACGTGTTTGCTTACACACATACATATGCATGCGCACATACACTCAAGGCAGACGCCGTCGTGCAGTGGCCAGGCTCTCGCCTGTGGATTAGAACTCCTTGGCTTCAGATCCTCTAGTCTGAGTATTTGGCTTGTATGTGTGACACCTTCTCAATATCCCTATTTTAACGGGATAGTTAAACAGTCTTGGTCATTTTCGGTTGTTCCAGACAATTTAATTCCTTCTCCTTTATTATTCTCCTTCCACAGTTTCTTTTTCTCACCTCACAGTCTCTGTTTTATAATATCTTTATCTATAGAGACTTAAATATTTTTACGTGTCCTGCAAATGAATTTCTTTATTTATTTGTGTTTGTTCTCATTGCTGTCAAAATGTTAGCATTCCTTGAATGAGTGCACAGAAATTGAAGAACAAAGAGAGAACACGCAGACATGTATACAAGAATACAAGAACTACACTAAAGAAAAATATATAATAATACAAGAACTAGCAAGGTTTATAAAATATACAGCAAGTACAAACAAACACATACAAAGATCCCTTTTCACGCCTTTCGTTAATATCTTAACCAAAAACACCCGGTGCCGTGGAATGTGGAGAACATGGAACAGCTAGTTTAATGAATCATGTAACTAAAATATTAATGAGCACTATCATCAGAAGAATAAAGTGCACAATTAAACCAGAAATTGGAGAAAAGCAAAGTGGTTTTGTTGAAGATGAAGGCACAAACAACGCCATATTTATCTCGACAACACTTTCACAGAAAATGACATGAACAGAGACGGTATGTGGGGAATATCAGTTAATGGACAAATTCAAATCAATGTTTCCCCGTTGTAAATTTGAACAAAGAAGACACAAACAATAGATTGCATAATTTATTGCCTGGCATATTTTACACAAATGAAGCAAATAAGTGAATCCTTTATATCTGAAGTACAATTTCAACAACGATCAAACATAACTGCCTGTTTTTACCAGGGCAGCCGTAAAGACTGAACTATTTCTTTGTTCAAATGGACAAATTGTAAACAACCTGCAATATGATATAGTTTTAATAGCTGAAAATAAAATACAAATGCAAGAAATGATTAATATAATTGCAACAGAAAGTGAAAACAATGGTCTTAGTTTGAACAGTAAAATACCTGAAGTAATGGTAATCACAAAGAAAACCGACCCATCAAAATGTAACATCAAAGTAAATAGGACAAACCTCAAGCAGGTTGATATGTTTAAATACTTGGGTACCCCGATAACACCAGATGGAAGATGTATTAAAGAAGTTTAATATAAAATAGCTCAAGCAAAGGCGGATTTGACAAAATAAAGAATATCTTATGCAATTTTGCTATGTCAACTGAGACGAGAAAGAGAATTCTGACTGCTGATTCCTTGCCTCTCAGGAAGATGCACTCCGACTTTGAAAGAACTGGGTATATGACAGTTGTCCTCTGTGTATACGCAGTCAGTAGGCATTGTTCATTGTTCATTTAAAGATCATCTGACATGACCGTAAGTGCTCCGACCTCCTGAGTATATGTCTCCAAGTGGTTTAAGATTAACAACTCCCAATCTGTTCTGGCTGATGTAGCGACAGGTTGCTCCCGCATGTTTTTCCTGTCTCCCCGCTCCAGCTGTACACCCAGGGTATGCAGTCTATTCAGTGAAAAATCATGTTCCATGAAACTGAAAGCATCACTGCGTTTAGTCTCTCTTATGGCATTGATGATGTCTCTCCTGTCCATAGATAGCCTGTTCCTGATAGTTGCATTGCCAGCCATGGCATCTGCTCTTTCGTTGCCTTTCACACCAGCCTTCGCTGCAACAAAAATAAAGGGGATTTTGCGAAACGCCGCGTGCTGTATCAAATGAAGCCAATGTTTCCGTTTATACCAGCAATGATCTTCTGTAGCTTGCTCATTGAGTCACTGAGTAAACATGCACTGGTGAATTCCTGAACCAAAACTCAATGTAGTACAAAAAAATGTCCAAGTGTTGGCAAATAAGTTAATCAATGTATTCAAAATATTTCATTTAAAACTCACACCCACACACACACACACACACACACACACACACACACACACACACACAACACACAAACACACACACACAAGAATCCTGGGATACACATAAGCCAACAATATTATTTAAACAGAAACTATGCCAATCAGTTGGTAGCATGCAGCATGATAAATATAGGAAAGCAACACATTTTATTTTCGAAGGGTACCATTTGGCAAACAAGCTTTTCCAGCACTCGTGTCAGTTCATTCAGACATTTTTGTATGCATCTTTAAATAGGCCGGTAATCTCAAACAACAGCAACTATGACAATAAAATCAATAAAATAATAATTAAACACACTGGAATGTTCTCGAAAATAAACTATTTATAAATATTACTAACTGTTAGTATAATATTTGCAATAAGTATAGGGGTAATATACGGGTTGGGTGGAGGGGAAAAAAAAGGGGGGGGGGGGAATGGTTCAGATAGTAATGTCCCGCATTTTTTTCTCTCTCAGGGAATAATGCAAACGGAAACATAAAATTGTGCTAACAAACTAATGTGTTTTTATTTTTATTTTTATAATAAATTGTATGTACGAAATGGCATAGGATTCTTGTATAAAAGAACAGCTGTTTAATCTGTTGAAATAGAGGGCGAGCAAAATGAGCCCTTATATCAACGAAATGTTATAGAATTTTGATGGGAGAAAAAAAAAAACACTATTGTGAAAATTCATTTGTGTCTCTGTGCTGTGTATGAATGTTATGCAACCGATAGGAGCAGAGTTGGTCGCTGCGTTCAGGGACTAAACGCTTCGGAAAGTGAAGAAACGAACCTAATGTTGCTATTTATAAAAGTGAACGGAGATTATACAGAAAACTGGAATATGTAAATAGCATAATGACCTATATTGTCCTGTAAATTTGAAATATTCTGAACGAACGGATTCGGGAAAAAAAAATTGAACATTACTATTTGAATTTCCCTTGAATTGTGCTTAAATTACTGTGATCCTACAAAGTATTTGATGTTAGAACACAGGGATTTAATGCGAAAGAACATGATGGTAATGGATGACTGGACGAAGTCAAAGAGACATTACACAATATACATTATGCATTAGTCAAACAAAGCATTGCAATACCCAATAAACTACGAGTAAATCTACCTTCTCGCTGCACAAAAGGTTGGAGAGAAGAAGAAAAAAGTACTAGAAGTTTGTCTCAGATCTTCACTAGATCTCGTTAACATTTAAACAGTACGTTTACTGGTTGTTTATGAATATGCTTCCCGAGATGAAGTCACAACATTTAGGAGGGGGGTAAGACTGGGTTTCCCGGCTTTCTTATGCTTTTAACGACTCGAAAACATCTAGAACTGGCCACATCCCACCTACGTCCCATGAGAGAGTGTAGCCTAGGGTCAGCGAATGCATGCAGCCTAATTCCCACGACTGCATGCAGCATACCACCACCTGAAATATTAAACCGTCCCGTGACCTATGAATTTCCCCTTTTTGGGGTAGGATATTAATAAAGCACCCTTTTACTTTATACAGACAACGTGAAATCACAGTTCTTCTAGACATCGTCTGCACTAAAAGAGTCAAGTTTTTCCCTCCTGTACACATTCACGTTGCTTTTCAGCCAAGGAAGTTCTGAAGCTTGTCGTAGTTGAGCTCCTGTTTTCTGGTCAATTATGAATCCCCGCTTCTCCATCTGAGCAATGACCGCTTCTAGGGCTTTGTTATTGACATGTGACAACCCGCCCTGACCTGCGGACATAATTTGTGTATAAACGATAAAAGAACATTCATATCGGCCCATAATTGTTCAAAGTTAGAAACGATATTGTCAGATGGACCGTCGGAACAACACCATGCATCACATTTATTGAGACACAGAAGATCAAATGGTTTTGTCATCTTTTTCTTCTCCTTCTTCTTCTTCTTCTTCTCTTCTTCTTCTTCTTCTTCTTCTTCTTCCTCTTCTTCTTCTTGTTCTTGTTCTTCTTCTTGTTCTTCTTCTTGTTCTTGTTGTTCTTGTTCTTGTTCTTCTTCTTCTTCTTCTTCTTTTCCTTCTTCTTCTTCTTCTTCTTCTTCTTCTTCTTCTTCTTCTTCTTCTTCTTCTTCTTCTTCTTCTTCTTCTTCTTCTTCTTCTTCTACTTTTTCTTCTTTACGTTCACAAGCTGTAAACTCTGGCGAAAAGTTTTTGCTGTTAATTCACTTTTGGACTGCAGTCCTGTTCCTGAACCTGAGTGTTGCGTGTGCATCCGTTTTACAAATCTAACTCATCTTATGCAGACTGCTGGTTCCTTGCCTCTCAGGCAGATGCACTCCAACTTCGAAGGAAGCTCCTAATTAGTCGACTCTGACAACACGCTTTTGGGTAAGCAGTGGGTCTATTTTTGTTTTCCCTACAATAGGGCCCCGGAACCCACACGGGTAGGCAGTGGGTCTATTCTTGTTTTCCCTATAATAGGGCCCCAGAACCCACATGGGTAGGCAGTGAGTCTTTTCTTGTTTTCCCTATTATAGGGCCCTGAAAACCACACAGGTAGGCAGTGGGTCTATTCTTGTTTTCCCTATAATAGGGCCCCGGAACCCACACGGGTAGGCAGTGGGTTTATTCTTGTTTTCCCTATAATAGGGCCCCGGAACCCACACAGGTAGGCAGTAAGTTTATTCTTGTTTTCCCTATAATAGGGCCCCGGAACCCACACGGGTAGGCAGTGGGTCTATTCTTGTTTTCCCTATAATAGGGCCCCAGAACCCACACGGGTAGGCAGTGGGTCTATTCTTGTTTTCCCTATAATAGGGCCCTGGAACCCACACGGGTAGGCAGTGGGTCTATTCTTGTTTTCCCTATAATAGGGCCCCGGAACCCACACGGGTAGGCAGTGGGTCTATTCTTGTTTTTCCTATAATAGGTCCCCGGAACCCACACGGGTAGGCAGTGGGTCTGTTCTTGTTTTCCCAATAATAGGGCCCCGGAACCCACACGGGTAGGCAGTGGGTCTATTCTTGCTTTCCCTATAATAGGGTCCCGGAACCCACACGGGTGTCCATGTGAGAGCTGTTTTGGCAGGTATATCAGAAGTCATTTTCATAACGTGGCCAAGTCATTTCCATCTTCTCTTGGTAATCATACTGTCTAAAGTTTCTTGGTTTGTGGCTTGAAGTAGTTTAGTGTTTGAGATTGTATCTGGCCAGAAAATTTTGATAATTCTACGTAGACATGTGTGGTGGAAGGTGGACAGCTTGTGTGCATTCTTTTTGGTCATTCTCCAGCATTCCGCTCCATAAAGAAGAACTGGCAAAATGATGCTCTTGTAGAGTCGGAGTTTCGTTCCTCTGCAGTTATTGTTGGATTTCCAGATTTGCCTCATCCTTCCAAAAGCAGCTCTAGCTTTGTTCAGGCGTGACTGTATGTCTTCCTCTGTCCCTCCCAGTAGGGACACCACACTGCCAAGATATGTGAAATGTTCTACATTTTCAAGTGATTGGTTACTTATGGTCACTGGTTGTTGGTTTGGACTGTTTGTCATGATCTTTGTTTTCTTTGTATTTTTTCTCAGTCCCACCATTTCTGCTGTGCAGTTTAGTTTGTTACTTTTCTCTTGTAAATGTTCATGTTTATGTGATAGGAGTGCTATATCATCTGCAAAATCAAGGTCCTCAAGCATGGTGAATAGAGTCCATCGTATGCCTCTTAATGTCCTGTCTACTGTGTTCTTTAGTATCCAATCAATCACAAGGTTGAAGAGGAGAGATGACATAACACATCCCTGTCTTACACCCGTCTTTACTGGGAAAGATGTATTTAAATTTTTTATACTGCAGGAAAAGTCTTTATAGAAGAGAGTAATTATGTTGACTATTTTTTCTGGAGTTCCATAATGTCGTAACATTTTCCACAGACCGTCTCTATGGACGCTGTCAAAAGCTTTCTCAAAGTCCACAAAATTAATATATATACTTCTCTGCCATTCGTTGTATTGTTCTAAAATGTTACGTAGGCGAAGATGTGCTCAGTTGTTCCTCTGCACTTTATGAATCCTGCTTGTTTCACTCGTAGACATTTATCTACTCCTTTTTCAAGCCGCATAATGATGATTTTACAAAATATTTTGCTTGGTACTGAGAGTAGAGTAATTCCCCTCCAATTATTGCAGTCTGTTACGTCTCCTTTTTTGGGGATTTTGACTATTGTTCCTTCGGTCCAGTCATCAGGCAACACTTCTTTATCCCAAATAACCTTGAACAATGGTTCTAGAATGCTAGCAGCTGTGTTGGAATCTACTTTGAGAAGTTCTGCTGGCAGTTCGTCTTTGCCTGGTGCTTTGTTGTTCTTTAAAGTGTGGATTGCTTTAAAGATTTCTTGTTTGCTTGGTGGTTCAGTAATAATGTCAATGTCCTGAGAGGCTGGTTGAATATCTGGGGGATTTTCAGGATTGGGTCTGTTCAAGAGGTCGGAGAAGTGTTTAGTCCACTGCATGTCTTGTTTTTGTTCTGTGGTGAGCAGTCTGCCTTGGTTATCTCTGATGGGTATGCTGTGATAATTGTTTCTGTTTCCGCAAATTTGCTGGGTAATTTTGTGTAGGGTTTGTAGATCATGTGCTTTAGCAGCATTTTCTGCTGTTTCTGCAAGATTTTCCATAAATCTTCTCTTGTCAGCTCTGGCACTTTTCTTGGTCATTTTATTTAGTTCGCTATATTCTAACATTAGTTTGTCTTTCTGACGTTCTGATTTAGTGAGATTTATGAGGCTCTTTATTCTTTTTCGCTTGGCAATATAGTCCATAGTTTGACTACTTATCCATTCTTTGTGGTGTTGTTTCCTGGTTCCTAATATTTTATTGCTAGTTGATTTGTATGTTTCTTTGATCTGGTTACATCTGTCTTGAATTCTGATTGTAGTTGGAGTTTCTGGGTCACTTGATAAAGTTTGAAATCTATTCTTGAGTTCTACTATAAATTTAGTGGCAATGTCTTTTTCTCTTAAAAGGTTAACATTGTAACGTGCTGTCTGTGTCTTAACTTGCGTGTAAACTTTTTTGAGTTTAAGTCGTAGTAGAGCGACTACAAGGTGATGATAGCTTCCCACATCTGCTCCCCTTTTGACACGCACATCGAGTAGGGACCCACGCCATTTTCTGTTTACCATGAAATGGTCGATCTGGTTTACATCTCTTCTGTTTGGGGATATCCATGTAAGCTTGTGTATGTTCTTGTGAGGAAATAGTGTTCCTCCTATAACAAGTCTATTCGCCGCGCAGAAGTCGCTCAGTCTTTTCCTGTTGTCATTAATTTTACCACATCCTTGATTTCCCATTGATAGTTCTCTATTCAAGTTGTTGTTACCAACTTTTGCATTGAGATCTCCTCTAATGCATAAAATATCATGGGCTGGTACTTTATCTACTAGCTCTTGCAGTCTCCTATAGAATGTTTCTTTATCTTCATCTTCAGCATCATTAGTCGGTGCGTAGCATTGGATGACTGTAAGTTTGGCATGTTTGCCATTGAATCGTGCTGTCATTATTTTGTCATTGATTGGATGCCACTCGATGAGATGTTTGTGTATACCTTTCTTTAAAATAAGTGCCACGCCTGCAGAATGTAGGTTATCATGTTATGTAACTAAAATTGTACAAGTGATACAAGTTACAAAGCAAGCGTCTGTTTTTTTTTTTTTTTTTTTTTTAAATATTATTTATGTACAAAACATTACCGTAGAGATGAAAATAGAAGCCCTTAAAAAAATACTTTCATAGGATAAGTAATTACAAAGAAATTTTTTTTAAAAAAACAGCACGACTTATAAAACAAACTATAGAATATGAACAAAAGCGTTCAGACATGTATGTATATATATATATATATATATATATATATATATATAAAGTCACCAGTCAAGCCAGAAACAGTTGATTGGTAAAGGATGAATCAGAGTGCATTGTTGCTAACATTGCCACCGGGAGGGGGAGGGGGGGAGAAGAGACGGTCATCAATGAAGAACTAAGGCACAGTACCTGTAAATGATTTCATAGAACACCAAAGAATTGAAGGGTTTGGTCATATGGTCACAGAAGAATAAAATCAGCCAGCCGACAAAGTGTGCTACATGAGAACAGCCGGCTACAAGTCAAGAGCTGACCAAGAAAGAGATGGGTGGAGGGGTTAGAAGAGACACTTCAGAAACGCAGTATAGCATAAAGACAAGCTACAAAACTTGCAGAAGACACAAACAGACTAAATCGAACTCCTCTCTGCGACTATTTACGGCGTAAGCAGTAAGACAAAAGCAGAAGATTGCTAAACTGTTTGTATTCACTAGAGATTTAACATGTCTTCATCAACACATGACTAGACTGAGAGAAGTCCAGTGCAGCATGCCAGATCTGTTACCACCGAGGATGAAACGGAAAGTATACTATGCCTTCTAACTTGAAATTCAGACGGAGTCGTGAATTCGAACCAAGAAAAGTTAGAGGCGAAAATGAGGTTTGAGGTTTGAACAACGGATCAACATCATGGCACAAGGGTAATAACCCATAGTGCTCCGTTCTTCTTCTAACTCAAGTCTGAGTCCGAAGAAGCCCAGCACAGTGAACAGGCTCGTAGAAGCGGCGAGAATCCTGAAATACTTTGGGTAGATTTTTAACTCCAAACTTTTGCGCCGTTAGGCTACTCTTTTTGATTTCCAACTGCCAAGAGATTTTTAACAATGCACACGGGCGTTAAATCTCACAGCCCAGAGACCAGGAGGAATTACTAGAAGTCCAAGTTCAAGTGAAAAAAAAATCCTTATCAGGGAATGATCCCAGAACCTCTAGCACTCGAGGCAGAATGCCTCAAGACCACGCAGCCCCTAAGCCGAACTCGAACATCTTAGCAATCTTCTTCTGTTGTCCTACTGCGTCTGCCACAATACCCCTTAACGGTTCCCAAAGTTACAGCCACAATACCTCTTAACCGTTCCCAAAGTTACAGAAGCAGGGCAACAGTATGAAAAGGAACTCGTACCAGGGACGGCCCAGCTGAGTACGATGCCCTCCTTGGCATGTCTGACCAGGTTGTCCAGGTAGATGTCCTCAAACGTGGCTGGAATGTGCTCCCCCACCTCTACACTGACCACCCAGTCGTAGGCAGGTAATCCGTACTGGGGCGCCGTCAGGTCTAGGAACTTCACCTAGAAAAGCAAAACAGGTAAAATTAAGTGAAGGACCATTTTCCACGCTTCAGGCATATTGGGCATATAGGGTTATATCTATATTTTTAGACAAATCGGCACCCTTCCAGGACTTTACCTGGTACCCATCTGAACCTGGGTCGACGTGGGAGTCGAAGTCATTAAAAAAAAAGTCCGGCTCTGACAGGACCTGAACACACAACCTTCAGATCGACATGCGAGCATCTAGCCGCTACACCACGGAGACTCCCGAAAAAGAACCCCCCCCCCCCCCCCCCAAAAAAAAAAAAACAGATAGCATTGTTTTATTGCTTATTAGGATATGATGGTACCACAGCATAGCCACCCCTCCAATTTCCCGGGACTTAGAAAATAATTTTAACAAAAGTGGTTCATCATCGTCATCATCATCATCATTATCATCAGCATCATCGTTATCATCGTTATCATCATCATCATCGTCGTCATCATCATCATGTAGATCTCATGACGATTTGCCTGAAAAAACCTTTCCAACTCTCCAACCTCATGGACTTGTTTTAACCCAAAGTGTCACTTATATCTTGTGGTCATCTTTGTGCTGGTGGGAACTACTCGTCTTTCTTGGTACTATCACGGTGGCTAATATTTTTTACAATCTAAATGCTAAAACGTATAATTGTTATAGCTAGGCTGCGATATCTGTGCCTTTAGGTCCAGAACATCCGATTACAGACTTTCCTGAAGGTTACAGGTGTGTCCCGCTCTATTGTTTGCTTTTTGTGGTGTCTTGCATTTGCGTTTTCATTCCGAGAAAGAGAATACCTGTGACATAGGTTGCAGCACTCTATCTCGGGGGGTGGGGGGGGGGTATGTGTGTGTGTGTGGGGGGGGGGGCGGGTTAGGGCCAGTTGCTCCATGCTTTTGGAACGTTAAAAGCAGTGGCGTGGTTAAATATTAAACATGCGATATCATCGGCATCACGGAATACCCCTGTAACCTTGTGCCAAGGTGACAAGTTCAGGATCTACCAATTAGAAATTACAAAGTGTGTAAATGGGCGGGGCGTTGGAGAGATTAACGTTATTTTAACCGAAAAATAGTAACACTAAATCAATGAATGAATGAATGATTAACACACAAAAAAATAATAAACGAATAGAGCGATATCATTGCACTGAAGACGCACATGTGTTATGAGATCAATACCCCCAAAAAAAAAATTAAAATAAATTATGGTGCAATGTGATGAGTTAAGTTGAGTCAAGAATTGACATCACAGCACTCGGGGCATTCCCTTACGCGCTCCGTTCCCTAGTACTCTGGTCACACCTAGGTGCATCATTCTCTCCAGCCCGTAATAATCTAGTTTCTCTTCTAACTTTGATGCTTGTTCCTAAAGGACTCTGACCTCGTCTGCCGGGTTATGTATCAATTCACCACCCACCGGTGCAGATCCAGCAATGTGCAATGATAATAATTATTACTTTTTAAACTTTGTTTCATCTGAAGATTGATTTTTTATTATTATGGTGCTTTATTAATTTCCTACCCCAAACAGGGAAAATCCACAGGTCAAGGAACAGTCTAATATTTCAGGGGGTAGTAGTTAGGCTGCGTCAAGTCGTGGGACCAAGGCTGCGTGCATTCGTAGGACCTAGGCGGCACTCTCTCGTGGGAAGTAGGTGTATCGGGATTATGACCAGTTCTATGTGATTTGGAGTCGTTAAAAGCATAAGAAAGTGGGGAAACCCAGTCTTACCACCCTCTAAAATGTTGGACTGTCCTGTGACGTCAGCTAGGGTAGGATATTAAAAAAAAAAAAAGAACCATTAATAATATTATTATTATTGTGAGATCAAGAATAATGCAAACAGCATACTGACCAGACCACCAGTAACTGTCTCACAGAATGGAGCGCCATCATAGGCAACGTAACTGGACACCTGACCAAGAGAATCGATGTGCTTCTTGTATTGACCAGGGCCATCTCCGAAACTGGCCACAGTTTTACCTTTAAAGAAGTTGCTGAGGGCTGTAGAAAACCCCTGCGTGCAATCAATATGGAACATACAGTGCTACATGTTGTAATTAGAAATGGATAGAGACACTTGCGCTCTTTCTCTTTTTCCTTCTCTCTCTCTCTTTCCCACTCACTCACTCACTTTTCCTGTTTCTCACACACTCTCCTTTTCTCTCACTCTTTCTCTCGCTCTTATGTTATAAACACGAACACCTTCATCTATGCATATATATATATATATATATATATATATATATATATATATATATATATATATATATATATATATATATATATATATATATAAGTGTGTGTGTAAACATACATTTTATATTCTGAGTTCCTACTTTGAAGGCAGTTGGCAAATTTTTTAATTTGGTTTACAGCTAGGCTGTGCTATCTTCGTCTATCGGCCCAATACATTTGATCTCAGCAAATCCTTAATTAGTCTCTTTTTACGACATGCTTGTTAAGGAGCTGTGAGTTCTCTACTCTTCCACCTCCCTCAGTGTGTGTTTATTATATATATATATATATATATATATATATATATATATATATATATATATATATATATACACCCATCGGCGACCTGGTATCCAACTGGCTCGCCAGTAGAAGACTTCGTCGCCAGTCGGAACAGTTTTTGCGTCTCCCTCCTTCAGCACTGTAGGAGACCGTTTAATGGCTTTTGAAAACGTGCAGTGTTACGCCATTTTTATTGCCGCACATAATCTAGTCACAATTATAACCTAAAGCTCGCCCTTCATGGCTCCTGGTTGAACGAAACGGTTTGTGTTTCTCCCATCAAAGCACCTGCCTAGCTACCGCTTCCACCGGCTGTAAACTCCGACGGGAAGTTCTGGTTTTGGTCCATTTCTGAACTTTCCCTTTGAAGACAAAAAGCTTATTGTTTCCATACCTTAATTTATGATGACAGTTGTCTGGACCCGGTTATGTATATTCAATGTTGTCTCCCTGTAGGTCTGCTTGGTCTCGAAGCATGGTGTCCGCCTCGAGTGCTAGAGGTTCCGGGTTCAATCCCCGGTAAGGGCTGAAATTTGGAATTCTGGTAATTCCCCCTGGTCTCTGGGTTGTGAGATCGGACGCCCGTGTGCATTGCTGCGCACGTAGAAAATACTTTGGCAGTTGGAAATCGAAAATAGTAGCCTAACGGCACTGCCCGGGCTAAATTTGTAGATAAACATCTACCTCAAGTATTTCACGATCCTAGAAGGTGCTACAGAGCCTGTGCACTGTGCTGAGCTTCTTCGGACTCAGACTTGTGTTGGAAGAAGAATGGAGCACTTATGGGTTACACCCGTATGCCATGATGTTGATCAAACCTTAAACCTTATTCTTTGTTCTCCCTTATTACAGGGTTGGGGTTCTAATTTCTTCAGCAGTGCAACTCCCGTAAACAAGAAAACAGTGCTTTTCGTAATTGCCCGAATTATTAAAAAACTAAACCCCTGTGTGTCACGGCTTGCGAGAGTAACAATATAACTGAACGAACAAATTTTATTTTTAAAGGGTTAGGAACTGGGCACACAGGCCCGTCTAACATTTTGCTCTTCCAGTCCACTCCTTGCATACAGTTATTAATTCGCACATAATTTCGTAGTTGTTAATAATATCACTATATTACAATTATAATTATAATTATGAAAATAATAATTATAATGAGAAATTGAAGCCCAGTATTAGAATTTCTAGGAAATAACAGAGTTTAATATTAACATTTGTAGAAAATAACGTACAGTTTAAACAGAGAGAGAGAGGGGGGGGGGGGCAGGGGATTGGTGAGGGCGGAGAGCCAGGGGAGGGGTATCTAAGAAACAAAACATAAAAACACCATACAGGATAAAGAAATTTTAGGGATTTATTCCGATGACGAGCTCAAGTCATTAGTAGTCGTGAGTCTCGGTTCCAACTACATGAAAAACGGGTCATTTATTTTAAAAATGATACATTCCTATGCCAAATAACTGTCAATTACTGCCTTTGTTATACCACTTTTGCTGTGTAGGCAAGGCGGTGGTGTCTTTAAGCCTGAGAATTTACACCCGCATGGCTAGTGCTGTCGTTAAGACTGTGCAGGTTGAGATTTTATTTTGCCGCCGATATAAAAAAAAATCCCTAGCTTTAGGAGGATTCAAACCCGGGTCTTCTGCATGAAAGCCCATCGTTCTAACCGTTCAGCCAGCCGCTCCTCGTGCATTTATATGCCAGTCATAAATCAATCAAAATGACCATAACAGCAATAGAAAACTAGTAGAACAGAACAGTCTGGGTGAGATACAGAAGCTGGCACTCGCAGTAAATGCCCAGGGCAGCCTTAAAAGGTGACTGACTACCCAAACAGTTCACCACGACTGCAGAAATGACATTCGTAAAATTTTAGCTCTGCATTTTGGTTCGCTGTCTCTAGAGAACTGCTGGGGACAATAGGCAGTAAGGTACTGGGCCGTGCCGTAATAGAGACGGTCCCATCAAGCGGCACCGTAGGGGGCGGTTTAAGTAGCCGAATCAAATACAGATTGAACATTTAAGAGGTTGCATTTGGACGACTTATATATATTAATTTTGTAGACTTTGAGAAAGCTTTTGACAGCGTCCATAGAGACGGTCTGTGGAAAATTTTGCGACATTATGGAATTCCAGAAAAAAATAGTCAACATAATTGCTCTCTTCTATAAAGACTTTTCCTGCAGTATAAAAAATTTAAATACATCTTTCCCAGTAAAGACGGGTGTAAGACAAGGATGTGTTATGTCATCTCTCCTCTTCAACCTTGTGATTGATTGGATACTAAAGAACACAGTAGACAGGACATTAAGAGGCATACGATGGACTCCATTCACCATGCTCAAGGACCTTGATTTTGCAGATCATATAGCACTCCTATCACATAAACATAAAAATATACAAGAGAAAAGTAACAGACTAAACTGCACAGCAGAAATGGTGGGACTGAGAATAAATACAAAGAAAACTAAGATCATGACAAACAGTCCAAACCAACAACCAGTGACCATTAGTAACCAATCACTTGAAAATGTAAAACATTTCACATATCTTGGCAATGTGGTGTCCCTACTGGGAGGGACAGAGGAAGACATACAGTCAGGTCTGAACAAAGCTAGAGCTGCTTTTGGAAGGAGGAGGCAAATCTGGAAATCCAACAATTACTGCAGAGGAACGAAACTCCGACTCTACAAGAGCATCATTTTGCCAGGTCTTCTTTATGGAGCGGAATGCTGGAGAATGACCAAAAAGGATGCACACAAGCTGTCCACCTTCCACCACACATGTCTACATAGAATTATCAAAAATTTCTGGCTAGATACAATCTCAAACACTAAACTACTCCAAGCCACAAACCAAGAAACTTTAGACAGTATGATTACCAAGAGAAGATGGAAATGGCTTGGCCACGTTATGAGAATGACTTCTGATATACCTGCCAAAACAGCTCTCACATGGACACCAGAGGGAAAGAGAAGACAGGGGCGCCCAAAAACAACATGGAGACGAACGATGGAAAGTGACCTGAGTGCGGCATCTTCGACATGGAAAACTGCACTGAAGATTGCACAGGACAGGAAAGCATGGAAAGTCCTCTCTGAAGCCTCATGTGCCACTAGGCATAACGAGAACTGATGATGATGATTTGGAAGACTTGCATCATAATGAGAAAATCTACCGCACGGGGAAAGGCGAGACAACGTAAACACAGTCTTGGGACCTTGAATCCGAGGAAAAGAAAATGACTGTACTTCTAATGACGTACTTGTTGAGCTGACTGTTTTGGAATACTGTGAACTAATAGCTTTGCCAATGTGGACATGCAGCCTACAATGCCTAACAGACATACTAAAGAAATGCTCTCTACATGCACTAGAAAGATCTCCTCAAGTCTTTTCTTCCTTTGTTTCTTTCCTTCAATGAGTTTGCACCGTCAACTAACTCACGCCAAGTCGCTCGATCCTTCACTATTGCATGCAACTCTCCCCATGTCCTCTTTAACTTTACCCTCTAGCTCAATTCTCCATGTGTTTTTAGTGATTCTGCCATACCATTTAATTCCCTCAATTCTGCACAGGCGCAAGTTAATGAATGTTTGCATTTTTTTTTTTTTTTTAGTAATTGCCTTAGTTGTTCTCATGTTTCCGTTAAAAAAAAAAAAGTACTAATTTGACATTAAAATTGAACATTTTAGGTATAGTACTAGTTTTAATTTCTTTTGACCTCCACAAATTTCTTACTGCTATGAAAGCTCCACTTGCCCTCAAGTCTCATTGGCTGAAACCGAAGGTGAATGGGTGAGTGGATTGCATGCATCTCACCACAGACTCAGTATAAGCCTGGGACCCTTTTATCTGAACATCACTCACAGAGAGAACAAACGAACGAACGAACAAATGAACGAACTTGGTTTTCAAAGAGTTACAAACTTAACACGCAGGCGCGTCTTTTCGACCTGCATTTAGAGAACCCAAAAAAAAAAAAAAAGAAGAAGTTAAAAAAAAAAAAAAAAAAAGAAGAACGTTGTGGGTTTGGTTCATACCTTGTCCCACATGTGTGCAGTGCTGTTAGGGCTACTCATGTTGGCACACCATCCTCCGCTTTCTGAGACGCTTGCGTCAACCTTTAGTTAATAAACACATCTCCACATCACACATACAGTGAATTACATTGGTAATTACACGTCAGAATATACTAATACATTTATTTCAGGCCGTAGTGGTTAGGTTCATGGTAATCTCCCAAAATAGAGAAGGTAATTTTTCATTCACAAGTTTGTTGAGCTGGTCGACTTTTCTGAAGATTACGAGTTGTTCCGCTCCGTTGTTTGTTTTCTGTGACGTTTTCATTCCGATAAAAAAAAACTGCCTGTGACATAGGCTGCAGCACTCTCGGGGGGGGGGGGGGAATAATGTGTTAGGACAAGTTTCTCTATGTTTTTGGAGTGTTAAAAGAGCTGAAATATACAATACGCAATATCAACGGCATTGTAGAACACCCCCGTAACCTTATGCCAAGGTGAAAGGTTCAGGAACTACCAATCAGAAGTCAACGGACTTTACCGGGTGTGGGGAGATCTACGTTACTTTTACTGCCATAGTAAACAAGAACGTGTACACATACGCACGCGCGCGACCGTGTCTGTGTGATTGTATGTGTGTGTACGATGATTACGTGTGACAACATACGATTGCAGTACCGTAGCAAGCAAGCACGCACGCAAACACACATGTACAGTTTATTTATCAAATCGGGCACAAACACTGTTTTTATCTTATCGGGGTTCCCCCTGGCACAGTGGTGAACCCTTTTACCTTGAGTTCAGTTCACTAGTACAGTTTTTACAGAGATCCCTGGCTATTGTCACCAGAGCTAAGGATTTCGTGCTCTGTGCGACGCTTTTGGCAGGCGGATAGCCGTTCTGGAGAGAAAGACTGCGATTTTTGGCGTAAAACCCTTCAATCTTTTTTTTTTTTTACTTGAAATATTTTCGGAAAGCAAAATACATGATGTGAGTATACACTAAAATTACAAAAGCATACATGGCATATGCATATTTTCAAATATACATACATGCGTACATACATACACATTCTCATATACACACACGCGCGCGCGCGCACACACACTCATACACTTACGCGATGCGTGGTCCTGAAACATGGCGTCCGTCTCAGGTGCTGGAGGTGCCAGATTCAAGCCCCGATGAAGGCTTGGATTTTGTCACGTAGACTTCAAGTAATTTCCTATAGTTTTCGTGTAGTTAGATCGGACTCCCGTGTGTATTGTTGCGCACGTAAAAAAATCCCTTGGCAGTTAGAAACCAAAAAGAGTACCCTAACGACGCTGCCCGGGCAAAATTTACATTTAAAAATCTACCCAAAGTATTTCAAGATCCTCGCCGGTGTATACATACATACAAACATACATTCAGACAGACAGACAGACAGACAGACAGACAGACAGACAGACAGACAGACAGACAGACAGACAGACAGACAGACAGACAGACAGACAGACAGACAGACAGACAGACAGACAGACAGACAGACAGACAGACAGACAGACAGACAGACAGACAGACAGACAGACAGACAGACAGACAGACAGACAGACATGTGTGCACACACATAATTAATTATTTGCATCGACCGGGAATCGAACCCAAGCCACGCGGGTGGCAAGCGAGTATTCCACTAGACCTGCGATGCCCATAAAAAGAATAAACAGACGAGACAGAGAGGAAAAAAGGCAGAAGAGAGTGAGAGAGAGTGTGTGTGTATCAGGAGAGCGAGAGAGACAGACAGACAGACACAGAGAGAGAGAGAGAGAGAGAGAGAGAGAGAGAGAGAGAGAGAGAGAGAGAGGGTGGGTGAAGTTGCGTCATGAATACTAGAGAACATTATTACAAAAAGGTTTAATAGGTTGACATTAACCAACTGTATGATAAAAAAGCAAAAACCCCTACAGCAACAATACCAAAACCTCATATATTGTTTAACAAATTACAAGATCATAGACTGCAAATGTTTCATAAACAGTAACATATCCTTTCCCAAACACCAAACTCGTGGGAAAGGGTCCTTTAGTTTACCTAATTATCATTTCTATCGGGTAGTGAAGGGCACACAAGTATAATCATTTATCTCATATAATATTCAATCTATAAACAAGTACTTGACACAAGAACGTCTATAGATAGTCGGGGAGGGGTGGACGGAAAAGGGGAGGGGGGGGGGGGGTGAATCCCTGAAAATGTTCTTAGCGTTGGGGTCGGTGGTTCAGGTGGGGGAGGGGGCGATGGTTTCGGGGCGAGGTGTTTGGGGGGACCGGCCCGCTCAGTCCCTAGACAATCTCTGGAGATGGTTCGACCAATGCCGTCTCTAGTGTGGGCCAACGGGCTTGCTTTACCGGTCAGCTATTAAACATGGGCCAACAAAAACTTTAGTCTATCGCAGTTAAGCAATAGTGGACCTGTGATTTCCAGGTGTCTAGTTGAAAAGGAATAATGTTTCGAATATACTAAATAGACAAAAAGAATATTGCAAATATACCGGGTAAACGAGAGGAATAATGTTGATATCCTGGGTGAACGAGAACAATACTGTGAATATCCTGGGTGGACACGAAAAATATTGCGAATATATTAAGTAGACATTAAGAATATTGCAAATCTACTGGTTGGATAAGAAGAATATGGCAAATGTACTTGGTGGGCGAGAAAAATATTGTGAAAATCCTGGGTAAACGAAAAGAATACTGTGAATATCCTGGAAGAACAAGAAGAATATTGCAAATCTACTGGGTGGACGAGAATATTTTTGAAAATCTACTGGGTGGACAAGAACAATATTGTGAATATCCTGGGTGGACAAGAACAACATTGTGAATATCCTGGGTGGACAAGAACAATATTGTGAATATCCTGGGTGGACAAGAACAATATTGTGAATATCCTGGGTGGACGAGAAGAATAGTGTGAATATCCTGGGTGAACGAGAAGAATAGTGTGAATATCCTGGGTGAACGAGAAGAATAGTGTGAATATCCTGGGTGGACGAGAACAATACTGTGAATATCCTGGGTGAACGAGAAGAATAGTGTGAATATCCTGGGTGGACTAGAAGAATAGTGTGAATATCCTGGGTGGACGAGAAGAATAGTGTGAATATCCTGGGTGAACGAGAAGAATACTGTGAATATCCTGGGTGGACACGAAAAATATTGCGAATATCCTGGGTGAAAAGGAACAATATTGCGGATATATTAAGTAGACATGAAGAATATTGCAAATATACTGGGTGGACGAGAAAAATATTGTGAATATCCTGGAAGAACAAGAAGAATATTACAAATATACTGGGTGGACAAGAAATTTATTGCAAATATACTGGGTGAACAAGAAATGTATTGCAAATATACTGGGTGGACAAGAAATTTATTGCAAATATACTGGGTGGACAAGAAATTTATTGCAAATATACTAGGTGGACAAGAAATTTATTGCAAATATACTGGGTGGACAAGAAATTTATTGCAAATATACTGGGTGGATAAGAAATTTATTGCAAATATACTGGGTGGACAAGAAATTTATTGCAAATATACTGGGTGGACAAGAAATTTATTGCAAATATACTGGGTGGACAAGAAATTTATTGCAAATATACTGGGTGGATAAGAAGAATATTGCAAATATACTGGGTGGACAAGAAATTTATTGCAAATATACTGGGTGGACAAGAAATTTATTGCAAATATACTGGGTGGACAAGAAATTTATTGCAAATATACTGGGTGGACAAGAAATTTATTGCAAATATACTGGGTGGACAAGAAATTTATTGCAAATATACTGGGTGGACAAGAAATGTATTGCAAATATACTGGGTGGACAAGAAATTTATTGCAAATATACTGGGTGGACAAGAAATTTATTGCAAATATACTGGGTGGATAAGAAGAATATTGCAAATATACTGGGTGGACAAGAAATTTATTGCAAATATACTGGGTGGACAAGAAATTTATTGCAAATATACTGGGTGGACAAGAAATTTATTGCAAATATACTGGGTGGACAAGAAATTTATTGCAAATATACTGGGTGGACAAGAAATTTATTGCAAATATACTGGGTGGACAAGAAATTTATTGCAAATATACTGGGTGGATAAGAAGAATATTGCAAATATACTGGGTGGACAAGAAATTTATTGCAAATATACTGGGTGGATAAGAAGAATATTGCAAATATACTGGGTGGACAAGAACAATATTGTGAATATATACATATTGGTCTGTAAAAAAGGGGCGCTCTTCCCATTTGCCAGATGCGCCTAAGGGCGTGAGGAAGGATCTTTTACTTTACTTTTTAACATTTATAGTTGGACCTACTTGTATCATTACTTGCGTAAACAACACAAAGCGGTTGATAAGTGAACCATCAATACTAACTTGATGCTATCGGTGGCAGATGCAGTAAAATACAGAAGGACATAAACGCAAAATTACAACGTATGAGGTGTGATGTATATGAAATGCGGCGGGAAAACAAGAGGAAACAGAATCACCAAAGAAAAAACTAAGAACAATAGTAGAAATAGTACATACAGTTAAGTGATTTTATAGAGCATCAAGGAAGCAAATGGTTTGGTCACTGGTCAGATGGATCTAAGACAGCCAGCAGCTAGAGCAACTACATAAGAACAGGAGGTTATAAGGCAAGAGGCCGACAAAGAAAAATATGGGTAGATGGAGAACAAGAGACACTACAGAAATGCAGTATGACATAAGCGCAACTAGCAAAAGACGGGTCTATATAAAACTCATGTCACCAACACTTCACGGCATAAGTTTTAGAACAAAGATATACCAAAAAACAATAAAAAACTTTCGTTTCGACCTTTCGTCTGGCTAAAAATGATTGTCAGACTGGCACTTTTTCCTCTTTCCAGACGATCGTGTTTTATTGTGCAATGATGAGGCATGGGACTCGCAGCCCATGGCGATGGCGAGTGTGACTAATAAGACCCGCCCGCGTTGAAAAAAAAAAAAAAGGTTTTCCATAATTAAAGTGTAGGATTCCATGATTGTTGATGTCAACATTTTCTGTTTTCTCATAGACGCTCAGCATTCATACTTTCTGCAAACATTTCTTCCTTCAATCTCAGTCCCGTCAACGCGGTCCATACCATTTTGTTCCCACGAGTCCACCTCAATACCTGTATCATTCATGTCACGCTTGCACACATCATTATATCGTAGTAGAGGTCAGCATCGACATTTTCTACCCGTCTTTAATTCACCTTAGAGCAGTGGCTCTCAACCTTTCAAATGCGGCAACCCTTTAATACAGATCCTCATGTTGTGGCGACCAATAAAACATACAATTTTTTTCGTTGCTACTTCCTAACTTCAGTGAATGTGTTTTTGCGATAGTTTTCCGCGACCCCTGTCAAAGGGTCGTTCGAGATTTTAAAAAATAAAGTTCGCGACCCAGAGTTTCAGAACTGCTACCACAAAGGATGTTTTGTAGGGACTGTGCCATCCTCCATTCTCCAGGTGTGACCTATCAACCTGAGCCGTCGTAGACTATGCATTGAGAAGACTGATACCACCTGGCTAACAGACTGAGTATTAATTCATAGTCAGTTTATACTTTATATCTTACTTCCTCGTCTTTACTTTTCAGAAGTTCCAGTTTCTCACAATTCTGTTGTCCGTAGAGCTGCTTCATTACGTTCAACTGTCTGGACAGGTCATCTCGATGTTTGCGATATTTTAGGCTATTAGCCTCTGTGTGACTATCAGTCCATATGGAGCTGGGGAAGGAGGAACAGTAATTGGAGACAGACATTTTCAGATACCAAGTTTTCATCGTTAAAACTAAACAGACAAATAAAACTGTCTTCGTATTATCCCATCGTTAAAGTTTTAAGTTTTATTTCGTTAAACTATGGCAAAAGGTTATATATATATATATATATATATATATATATATATATATATATATATATATATATATATATATATATATATATATATATATATATATATATATATATATATATATATATATAATCCTTAAAATTTTAATTTGTTAAACGTTGGCAAAAGATAACATCTGTATTTCATATTATCTTGACAGTTTTGAAACGCTAAACGTTGGCTTAAAAGAGGACATCTTTATTTCATATTATCGTGAAAGATTTTCTTGACGCTGCTAAAAGATAACATCTTTATTTTATATTATCATGACATATTTTATTCGTTAAACGTTGCTAAAAGATAACATCTTTATTTCATATTATCGTGAAAGTTTTCATTCGTTATACGTTGGCAAAAGATAACATACTTGTTCCATATTATCACAAAAGTTTACATCGTTAAAAGTAGAAATGAACAATTAAACAAAACTATCCGTGTATTAACCCATCGCAAAGTTTTCATTTGATAAACGTTAGCAAAAGATACCATCTTTATTTCATAATACCATGAAAGTTTAGGATCCAATCCCACACCTTCAGGCATGTAGGGCATACAGCGCTAGTCTTTATTTTATAGGTAAGTATTTTTAAGGTAGGCAGACACAAACAATTTAAATTAAATCACTCTGAGTGTTTTGTTTGTTAGAAGCGTCCTTGTCTTTTATAGTTGAAAAGTTGTTTATCGCATTAAATTAAACAAAGACAAACTACACCATGAATCACTGTGGAAACTGCTATGTCAATGCGAGAAATGGAATCCACAGACGTATTATGCTGGTCGATAACCGAAATACACCAGAATTTAAAGTAACTGATCGTAACTAATTTTGGTGTACTGAAAACAAAAGTTACAATAAAGAATGTTTTTTGGCTCTAATTTGTAAGATATACGCAATTAGTTTACTTAATTAGGATCAAATTTATATATGTGATGCAATTGTTGTGGCCGGCTGCATAGTTTTTTTTTTTTTTTTTTCTAATGACCAACAAAACTGTAACCAGAAGTTGATGATGCAGTCTTAACTATGATTACACCATCGTTGTGCATAAATATTGTAACTCTGGCAAAATTTTGCCATTAATAGCTGGTGGCTTTGCCTTTATTAATACTAAGTTTAGAAATGTCATAGACAGCGCTAGTAACTTATGTTATCTATGTGGTGAAGTGTCATTTCTCTCACATAAACAAAATATAAATATATAGTGATTAAACAGGCAAATAGTTTGTATTTTGGCTGCAGAATGGGAGATCAAGATAAGAGCTCGGCGCCATACATAAGCTGCAATTCATGTGCAGCATGACTTAAACTGTGGTTGACTGCCAAAAGGCAAGCAATGTCTTTAGCAGTCCTAATGATTTGGAGAGCGCCCACTAATCATCCCAACAACTGTTACTTTTGCATGGTCCCTCCAATTATGAAAGGCATATGAAAGAAGAAACTCCGCTAAGACCGGTCCCAAGCCCGGCTGTAAAAGGAAGAGGGTCTGGCTGAACCTCAATACTTCATGGGTCTACGGAAGTAGTGGGTAACCGTGAATCAGCCAGACGGCCTGCGTAAAGACCGCAAGGAGGCAGCCCCTCCACCATGCAAAGGCACAACAGGCCAATCACCTGTTTGCCTTAAATTATGATTACAAGAAAACCGGACGGATCTTTACGGCGACGAACTGGCATGGCTTACGGACTACGAATTATGGAACATGGAACATAAGAGGCATTAACGGGGAGGAAAAGGAGTTAGTAGGGAAGATGAGGAAAGCGAAATTAGGAGTCTTGGCTCTGACTGAAACCAAGAAAAAGGTGCAAGGAATCACAGATCATGATGGAAGTATGCTGCTCTACAGTGGTGTCCCTATGACGGAGAGAGCCAAGGGAGGTGTTGGCTGTATTGTAGCCAGTAATCAAGTTAGTAGCATCAAGGAATGGAAATTCATTTCGGAACGAATTATGGTGTTAGATCTGAAAGAAGAAGATAAAATTATCAGTATTGTTATTGTGTACGGGCGAAGTAAAGATGAGCGAGTTGATGTTAAAGAAGATTTCTTTGAAATGCTCCAAAGGACCATAGATGACTGTCACGATGAAATTATCCTCCTAAGATATTTAAATGCCAGAGTAGGAAATGATCACTCTAGATGGGGTGGAGTAATCAGGAGATATGGTGAAGATGTTTTGAATGATAATGGCAAGCGACTTCTCAGATTCTGCAGGAAACAGAACCTTGTCATTACAAACACAAAATTCCCCCACAAGCGTATACATGCATACACAAGATGTGAACCTTCAAAGAATGAAAAATCCATCATTGACTACGCCATAGTTAGGAAAAGTTCATTCAAGTTTGTGAGAGATGCCAGAGTCATGAGAGGACCAGAGATTGGAAGTGACCACTATCTGGTCACAATAAAGAGAACAACTGAAAGAACTGCTCCAACAAGGCAACACAGACAACCATGCAAGAAACCAAGCAAACCAAGAAGGGATGAGGATTAAGCCATACAAGCTAAGAGAGCCAGATAATAAGGCTAGATACCAGGAGCTTATAGTGAAAGCAGTAGGAACTGAAGAAGAACCATCAGAGGACACTGAAACTCTCCGGTGCAGATTCAAGAATATCCTCACAGCAGCTGCAGTAGAAGCATGTGGTGAAGTCCCGAGTGGAAGGCGGGGACATATGACACCTTGGTGGATGGTAGAAGTCAAATTGAAAATAGGAGAAAAGAAAAGGGCATGGAAGCAATACCTGGCAGCCAGGAACACAGCTGAAGAAATAGAGAAATATAAACAATATGTAGCACTCAGAACAGAGACCAAAAATATTTTGCTTAAAGCAAAACAGAAATCATGGGAAGAGTTTGGAGAAAAGTTGGAAAAGAATGCAAGAGAAAATCAAAAACTGTTTTACAGGACCCTCGGGAACATGAGAAAAAGAAAGAGTGCCCACTTAAATTCATAAAAGACAAAGAAGGGGCTCTGCTTACTTCTACAGATAATATCATGGGCAGATGGAAAGAATACTTCTCAGAGCTCCTTGGCGTTGAGGGAAGTCATGACCCAGAAATAATGGACCTCACTGCTGAGAAGGAAATCATCCAAGAGGATGATAACATCAGGATGGTAGAGTTGAAGCAGCTATTTAGAAGATTAAGCTAAGAAAAGCAGCAGGTCATGATAGTATAACACTAGAGATGGTCAAATATATGGGTGTCGCAGGTGAGCGCCTTCTACTGAAGGTTCTCCAGGCAGCCTGGTGTAGAAAAACTATACCAAAAGATTGGGAGATTGCTATCATTATACCTATATTTAAAAAAGGTGATAACAGACAATGTGGAAAACACAGAGGCATATCCCTCCTCAACGTTCCTGGTAAAAGTTATTCTATAATTCTCGAGCAGAGACTTAGAAGTCTGGTAGAGCCACAGCTGGACGAGGCCCAATGCGGCTTCAGAGCAAACCGAAGTACTCAAGATCTTATCTTCACACCGAGACAGATGAATGAAAAAGCCCTTGAATATAAGAGTGAAATGCACCTATGTTTTTTGGATCTGGAAAAGGCGTTTGACAAAGTACTCTGGAACAAGCTCTGGGACTGCTTGGCGGGAAAAAACACCCCAGCACCCCTGATCAGTGCAATACAGAATTTCTACAAAAGGTGCAGAAATTATATAAGAAGAGCAGACCAAAAGTCAGAAGAATTTAAGAACACCAGCAGTGTTAGACAAGGTGATATTCTCTCACCTTACCTCTTCATTCTTATGATGGATGAGGTCATCAAGACCTGTAAGGAGAAGACAAAGAAGTACTCGGTAGGGTACTGGAAAATGAGACCAATCTGTACATCCGAGCTGGCATTTGCAGACGATGTGGCACTGATAGCTAAATCAGAGGCACACCTTCAGTCCAACTTACTTGTCTGGAAGGAAGAGCTTGAAAAGTACGGGATGACCATCAGTATCTCTAAAACTAAAACCATGGTGATCTCGAAAGAGGAGAAGAAACACCAGATCATGATGGGGCAGTATGCATTGGAGCAGGTTAACCAGTTCAAATACCTTGGAGTTGTATCAGACCGAAATGGAGGCATTAAGACTAAGCTGGCTACACGAAAAGCAGCTGCTGTGAGACTCTTCCAGGCCATAAACCGAGGGTTTCTTAGCAAAAGAGAAATTGGCAAGAGGACGAAAATGGCTGTTCGCCGCTCTACCTATGTACCAGTCCTGACCTATGGATATGAGTCATAGACAATGACAACAGCTCACATAAGCCAGCTGCAGGCCTCTGAAATAAGATATCAGAGAAAGGTTGTCCAAGTGACAAGAAAAGACAAAGTCCGCAATCAGGCAATACGTTAAGATCTTGATACCCAGCCCTTACAAACCCGAGTGGATCAGTCACAGTTACGATGGTTTGGACATGTATGCAGAATAGGAGAAAATCGGACACAATGGCAGGCATGGGAGGCTAAGAACCAGGAAAACCAGACCTCCAGGACGACCCAGGATGCGCTGGGAAAACGACATCCGACAGTCCCTAACTGACAGAGGACTGGAATGGAACAAAGCCAGAAAAAAAACTGCTGATAGAGACGTCTGGCGATCTCTCTGGCAAATCTCTACACTCCAAGTTAGAAGAGGAGCGACTAAGTAAGTGAGTAAGTATATGAAAGAAGAAATTGACTCTGAAATATCCTAACATCCCTTCTGCAAAAACGTCCAGTACCACATGGCGATGATCTACCAGTTCACAAAGTGCCAGAATTTATTTTAACTGCTTCCACTGATAAAGGTCATTTATAAAGAAAGCCTTGTTCCGTCAGGACCCGAACCAACGACCTCCCGATCCGCAAGCAAGCGTCTAGCCGCTACACCACGGCGAATCGATAGAATTATACAAACATTTAAAGCCATGACGCCAGCATAGCTTTTAAAAATAAGTATTCATTAAAAAAAAAGGTCAAGTTTTGAGGTATCAATTAAACGCACACAGTACTGAAGAAAAAGAGCTGGTCTTGTACTTAATTTTAAAGGTGACTTACAAAGTTTATGTTCGATACTATAAAGTATCGAAGCTGAAAGGCCCTTCCTTACCTTTCAGTGTGATTGCCCCCTGTGGGAATCCTAGGATAGGAGTTGGGATGGGGGATGAATTGCTGGGCCGTCTTAACGCATGGGTCCGCTGGGCACTTGCACGGTGACCCCACAAGAATGAAGGGCCCGTGCTTTATGTTTTATATTATCCAACATATAAGTTTCATTTCAGTGAGTGATTATTGTAGGGGCCCCAGCACACTGGTCTGCCCAGGGGCCTGCAATACAGTTAAGTAATTAGACCAACTCCTGCAAGCAAGTAATAAAACTGCGAGGGGTTGGCTGTAATCCGATGTGTTGGGCGAAAGGTGGGAATTTCGCAGCTTAAATGTTAATAGAACTTTAAAAGGTACTATTCAGGATTTTCCCCGCATCTCGTTCGGCGAGATATTTCGTAGGGAATTCCCGGGACACTCCTATAGTCTAGGTAAGCTAGGTTTAGGGTCAGTTTTAGTCGCTGTTCATTTAACACAAACGCTAAATAATTAAACTCCCCTATTCTTGGCGTGTCGTGTGTTGTTTCTTTTCAAAGTTGATATCGCTCATTGGGTTATAATTTCCGCTGTCTGTTTCTTTCATTCGTTTCGTCGCCCTCACTCTGCATGCGTGGAAGTGATGACCCCTCGCTACCTCTGCCATGAATTACCTTAACCTGTAAGTATTCCTGCAGATAACCATAACCCCAACACTGAACCTAGCACTAACTCTATCCGCAAGCTGTATATACACGAGCACGATCATCTGCAACTAGTTGCATGCGGTCATAAATATGCCGAGTGAAGGCAAGACATCACCCATAGACTTTAGGCCTGTCACGGGAAATTCCCGACGAAATCTGGCGTTGGACAGGATAGGGTGAAAACCCTGAATAGAACCAAAAGAAGAATGAAAGAAGATGAGTTTGATTCAACAAGACTTTGTTCTGTAATAACCTTCTACATACCTCATGAAGGAATTTGCACTGCCCGGGGTCTGTTGCAGATTATTTGTGAACAGAAAAGTACACACCAGGAGGATGATCACACAAATGACTGCTACCTGTGAGAGTACATCAGAGTTGTGTCAATTAGTGTAATGAAGATGAGTGACTGTGGTCCAGCCGATAACAATTAGTAATAAAGAAAAGAAAACATGCAATCATGAAATTATGTTGATTTTGGTTTTTACGAATTCTGGTGTGTGTGTGCGTGCGTTTGCCTGTGTGTGTGTGTGTGTTTGTGTTCGCGCGCCCGCGCGTGCGCGACTCCGTAAACAAGGACTTTGGTCGAAACGTTCAGTTACGTGTGTGCAGTTCATTTACATGTAATCCGTTGACTTTTCTGATTACACGTTTTGTTTTATTTTATTTTATTTTAGTACAGGTGTACACGAGTTAAACCTGACGTCTATGGCTTGCGGGTTGCAACATAATTTCGCATTTCCGAGATACACGGTTCCTTTCTAGCTGTCAGTGAACCCACAACCGACCACTCTGCGCTGATTTTGACAATAGTATCGAAAGCCGACCGTTAAGAAAGCTGTGACAAACAAACTAATGTAAAATTGCCCAGCTAAATCACCGTCATCCCAAACAATGCTAGGGCTGGTTCTGCGACGCCCTGTAAACGATACGCAGTTACGTTTCCAACCGTTCACGCATAATTTCCAGCGCTTCTTTGTGTCTGTTGTTTCAATCCGTCGCCCATCTATCTATCCATGAATATCTTTAACCCACTCATACACCCAATTAATCTATATTTTCTCATCAGTCCATCTATCCCTTTACCACTGCAGTTACCCACCCATGTCTTCTTTTTCTTCTTTCGTTCGCCTGAAATAAGTTGTCTATATCAGCAGTTTTGTCTCTTGTATAAATTTCACTGTTGTTGTTAGTTCATTCAGTGGTCCATAGAGTTTACGTTCCACTGTTGTTCTTTCTAGCCAACATGTTTGTCTTATTGTGTCAAATTCGGTGCAGTCCTGGAGTACATGCACTGCTGTCTGGGGCACCTTTCCACAGGTGCACATGGCTGATACGCCTACCTTGGATTTTGTGTACATGTGATTACGTAACTGGTTGTGCCCTGTTCTGAGGCGGAGGATAATGACTTGTTCTGGTCTTTCCATAATAAAATAGTCGTCTTGTGCACGGGCTGGTGGTTTCCTGATCGATTTAATGATTCTTTTCTTTCGGTGGTATGTGACTGTTACATCCGGCTGCTCTTTTGTCGCACCTTCCTCTGCCAGTTGATCAGCTTTTTCATTTCCAGGCACTCCACAATGAGACGGTATCCACTGCATTACAACTCTTCGCTAAAGGCTGAGTTGTGTCAGCAGTGTTTGCTCCTAACTGAGCAAGGGCGCAATACAAGACTCTTAATGTCTCTTAGCCTCTCTTGCTCAAGAGTACCTCACCTTCACGTGGTGGACCCTGTTCTTCCCAGCAATCCAGTTGAAGGCTGGGGTCTCAACCCCCAGCGAGAAACTGGATGGGACAACAAACGAGGTAAAGGCGAAAGACGAATGGATGAGCCTACTCTCCTGGAGTATGATCACAGTCTACCCTAGCAAAACAAAGTGCTAAAGTCAGGCTAGACAGACAAGCTGGCAGGAAAAAAATTAGGTCTTTAAACTTTGAAAAAGACACAATGAAATTGTGGAGGCTAGACAAGTAAAACAAATTAATGATAAGAGTACAGGGAGAAATGCGAATATTGCACTCAGCAAAGAAGGAGCAATCCTAACAGGAAAACAGGCAGCTGACCACTTGGCAGATTCAATTGCTCAAGACAGCAACATTGATGTCAGCCCAGAGAAACAGCGGTAGGTTCGAGTGAATCAGCAACAGACAAGATAAAATGATATAATTCCTGGGGCCCTGGTGGCAGCACTTACGTCTAGCATGCTAGAGTTAGCAATGTCAAAACTGAAAATGGGAAAGTCACATGAAATTGATGGAATAACCAACGAAATAATCAATAACCTTGGAACAAGAGCCAAAAATAAAGCTGCTACAGATGTTTAATCATTGCTGGACCAGTGGCAAAGTTCCCCAGATATGGAGAGAAGCATACGATAACTCTCCTTAAACTAGGAAAGAACAGTTCCGATGCCTCCAGCTATAGACCTATTCTTCTTACCAGCTGCCTCTATAAAAGAATGGAACGTAGTGTCAACATTAGACTCTAATGATACCTTAAGTGAAAACATCTTCGTGCCACAGCAGGCAGGCTTTAGACAGTGCTACTTCACAGAAGACCAGACAACATACCTTTCGTAAGAAATCGAGGATGTCTTCCAGGAAAATAAGATGGCGCTAGCGGCATGGATAGATTTGAAGAAAGCCTTTGACAAGGTCGGGAAAGAAAGTCTCATGAAGAAACTGAGAAATACAAAGTGAATGGGAATATGAACTAATGGGTGAAAGCATACTTGTTTAACGAAAGAGCCCGAGTACAGATAGACAGACTCAGGAGTAAGAATGTTTTACTGCGCCATAGTGTCCCCCACAAAAGGTGTCCTGTTCCCCACAATCTTTATAGACTATGGCCTAGTTTATTAATAACCCCCTGAAATTAAAGCTGCTATGTAAGCTAATGACTTGGTACTATGGTATAAAAATGAACATGCAACAGTGGCCACTAGATTACTAAAAAAAAAAATCCGTAGATGCTATGGCTGCAAGAGCCGATAAAAGATGTGTCAGCATTAACATAGGCAAATTTAGCACCACCCTCTTCATCCTCTCTCCAAAACAAAAAGTATACGTCATCCACATAAATGGCGTACCTCTGAGAGAGGATACGGAGCCCGCATACCGAGGAGTCACGTTTGACGATAGGTTAACAAGAAGAAAACACACCAACAAAGCAGCAACAGAAACCAGAAGCAGGATAGCCATCTTGAGAAAACTAAGTGGAACCACTTGGCGTGCTTGTGGAAATATACTTAGGAAAGTTTACCAACAAAGTGTTCGATCACACCTTGAATATGGATCAACAGCATGGAGTTCAGCATCAAAAACAACACTAAAATAATTAGACAAAGTGCAAAATCAAGCACTCAGAGTTACCACAGGCAGTATGAAATCAACACCTTAAGCTGTAAAAGAGAAAAGGGGGATGACCCTAGCACTGACTAAACGCAGAGACACAAGATGCTAATACAAGCAGAAACGTTTCTTAGCATGCCTTGACATCCTATTAATGAAAGACTCCAAAATCTAAACGACTAAAGAGATGCGGTTTCATCCACTAGGCCAAACCACTAATCTGCCTGCAACTGATAGCCACTGAAATGCTTTTCCAGAATGGACTCCCTGGAGAGGGGAGTATAAGTTTTCAATACACATCAAGACAGAAGTGAAAAGATTATTTGACAAGAAAGAACAAAACAGTGTGCAGCGTAAGACAACCATCCTCAGTCTACTTGATGATAAATACCTGCAGAATCTTTGGGTTAGTGTTTTACCCAGATGGGTCAGCACAAAATGCAATCAGAAACAGAGGTGCAGGAGTTTACATTGAGCATCCTAATTACACAACCAAAGTACCAACAGTAAAGCACTGCCACAGCTACGATGCAGAAGTTAAAGCCATCAAGATAGCAGCAGGGAAACTACTAAATACAAATGCAAAGGCGGTACATAAGACACTCCAGTTTTTTGTACCAGGTACACGGACACTAATATCTGTACTAGGCAACTGATGTAAGGTAGCTATGCAATGGAAACCATCCCACTGTGGAGTTCCCGGAAATGAACTAACGAACGCTCTTCGTAATGCCAGGGTGCCGGGTTTAATCCCAGCTACGTACGATCTGTCTTGCGTTGGGTTCAACAGTGGTACCGAGAGCTGACCTTTGAGAGGCAAACTACTAAACGTAATTTTGGCCTAGAAACACCACAACAGACAAACAAAATGCTAGGGTTGGTTCTGCAACCCCCTGTAAAAGACACACAACTAACTCTTTTTTTTTTCAACCTTGGAACCGTCAGCGTCTGTGGTTTAGGTGTTGCGAACCTGTTTCGTAATTCTGAGGTACCCAGTTAGATTCCAATTACCGGCGATTTGGCAGCAGACCGCTGTATGTTTATTTCTGCAAGAGTCTCGACCGCCGACCGTTGAGTGCAATTGCAAATTATTGAGAGTAAAATTTCCCAGCGAGACCAAACCAGACAACTAAATACTAGGTTTGGGTTTGCAACGTCCTGTAAAGGAGGCGAAACTAACTTTAACAAAGGACTCTTTTCCGTGCCTTGAGATGTATTGGGAATATCATTTAGCAGGTCCTTTGCAGAACGTCGCTTTCATCACGGTTTGCCCGAAAAAAACTCTGTCTCTCGCCGGCTCTCCCGCCTTTTATACTTTTATACTTTTATACTAAAAGAGTCACTTATATCCTGTGCCCATCTTCGTGTTGTTCGGCACCTGCCCCTCCTTCCTGGTACCATGCCTTCTGCTATTATTTTTTTCCAATCCGTCCTGGCGCTTGATATGACCAAAATATTTCAGCTTCCGAGACAGGAGGCTGTTTATTAGCCAATCTTCTTTGATGTTCAGATCTTTCAAGATGTCAGTATTTCTCCTCTTTTATTGTCTAGAATATTCTAAGAATCTTTCTATAGCATTTCAGCTCGAAAGCCCCTATTATCTTTCTTAAGACTGCTTCCTTGATAAGTTTCTTGGGAAAGTAATGTGGTAGTTATTGGGAACATAGAGATTTATATGTTATAGACTAGTCAAAATCGGGGAAGAGCTGATCTACATCACACTGGCCGCCTTTACTTCCTGGACTTAACCTGGTACCCATTTAAGAGTGGGTTGATCTAGTAGCCAAGATCATTTTTTTTTTTAGTCTGGCTCCGTTCGAATTCGAACCGATGATCACATGTCTGTACAGTAACTTACAATATGTCACTCTTTATCTCATGATTTAACTCAGCCATTACCGTATTTTCCCGTGTTAGTTTCCAGGACCTAGAGGAAAAAAAAACTGACCCACTACCTCCCTACCAAGCATGTCGTAAAAGGCGATTAATTAGTGGAGTTTTCTTTGAA